TCGTTTGTAGTGAGCCCTTGACAAGGGCAAGAGCTATTTCCCCTCTCCATAGCCACATCCGTACCAGTGCACGTCTCACACAGCTTCTCCTCAGATGCTGCCACTCTGCCCTTTGAGATGTGGGTACCAGTGGTGAGAGGGTGGGATGGCAACCCAACCGATGGTGTCTGAATCCAGAAGGTGACCTTCAGCACTGTCACCAGTAACACGAGTGATGCTTTCTCTTAGTCCAGAAATCGACCGCTCTCTTTCACTTGACAAAGATAATTAGTTGGCCAATTAGGTGAGCATGGATGGCCCGTATTCAGTCCTCCCACTCTCTTCTCCTGCCGTCACTTGCTAAAGGAAGAGGGATGAATTTGTAACAAAAAGGGAGTTAATCCTGCAGGCAGCTATTATAATCTGGATGACAGTTGTGCATGTCTTCATACAATGTTTTTTTTTTGCCAGACATGCTCAACATAGGTTTCAAAGTAAACTGTTGATTCTTAAAAGGCAAGGCCTTTCACCTTCTACAAAAATAAAGAGTTTTTAGGGTTTAAGTACGTACAGTCAGGAAAAAGTCACACCACTCGGAAGAACATTGCAGACGTAGCATTTAATCCTGCTCCATTTAATTCTTAATATGTTGAAGCTAATATGGGTTTAACTAAATCCCGCATTAAATACTCTAGATGCCATTCTGTTCATACTCGGAATAAATGCATATTGCAGCTACATAGAGGCTTAGAGGTGCTAAAGCATGGTTTGTCAACTGTTGTATGTACTGGTATCTCTTGCTTTTACTAAATTCAAGATTGGGCAGTTTGGCAAGCTGGAGCACATTTTACCTAAAACACAAAGGTACATAACATGTCCTAGGTTTCTTTCATCCTTTTTATAAAAATAAGAAAAGTTTGGAAGTGAAACTTCATTAGTAAACTGCAGAACCTTTATCTTAGACAAAAACACCTGCAAACTGAATGAGCCCACCCCAGTAATATGCATGTTCTGATTTTAAGTACAAGGCATTTTAGGTGTGGGAGTTTATTTACTACAAAAATCATCATCTGTTTCAGCTTTCGTTTGCTTCTCTACAATGAGCAAGGTGTCAGTTATCAGTGACATACATCTTAGCTAATTTTAATTGAGAGATAATAAATGCATGCTAATATAGTTAAAGGCATGCAGTTATAACTTTTGTTTTGAAATGTATGTCAGACAGGTAATTCCTTGTGTTTAGACACCATGTACAGGTAGGACATGTCATTTTTAAATAATATGGTCATTCATCAGGCTCTTTTTTGCCTCCTTTCGATGTAACCAAGGCAAACTGGACTGACATAAACTGAGATAATAGAGATAGGAGGAAAACACAGGAAGGGAACTATATTGATGATCTGCTTGGGCTTGATTATTGACTTTTTTTTTTTATTAAAGTCACATTCTAGAGAAGAATGACTTGTTGAATTCCTGCGCTTCATCACCACCAGGAAAGAATCACCATAGCAACAGGAAAAGACTATGCATTGTAAGAATACTCACAAGCTGAACAAGATAATGGTTTAAGATAATGCCCCAGTAGCACAGCAAAATGCCAGCCAGGGGTGGGGAGGGAGGGAAGCGGCGTTTTTACCGTGACAAAGAAATTTAAAAAGAAGTAAATGTGAAAGGTATGCGAATTCAAGGCTAACAAAGTGCAAGACAATGAATTGAGAAGCTGTATGGCCCATTTGTCTGGGAAGCAAATCAACAAGGTTTCTTATTGATAAATCCCTGAACTTGTCTCTAAGGGTCAGCTGCAAGTGACTGATGTGTGTCTTCATGAATTTTCCTTTAGCCCCTCTGTTAGGGCATCCAAAACGTTTTGCAGCTAGCAGGTGTCCATGCAGTAACTACACAGAAGCATTTAAGGCAAACATTTCATGTAGGTCACCCGTCAGGCAGAACCTGCTTAACATCTAGTAATTATCTGTAAGGTCTGATCCAGCACTGACGTTTAGAGGTGAAAGAAGCATTACATGTGCCATCTAGTATATCTGTCCTATTTAGACCCTTATCTTTGATCCCTTCCTACAACATTTTTCAATCCTCAATGTTCAATTCCACAGTATCTGAGAAGCAAAGCTACAAATCTACACTTAACTCAAAATATGGATCAGGATGAGCGCGGAGTATGTCACTGAATGGTTTAAACCATATCATACGTGCCACAAATTTTTTCCTGATTTTTTTTTTTTTCACTGCAAACCACCCATCCTCAACTCTCATGTTTTGTTAAGATCTATATAAATGAAACAGGTGACGTAACAATAAAACTTGCAGATAAAAATATGTTTGAAATGAGAAACTCTGTACATAGTAACTGCTGCTTTCAAAGCCATTGTTCTTTGCAACTATTTCTTTGTGGTAGAGCGCATGTGGCTTTTGCTTTAGCGCCACTACAAGTGTTTCCGTGAATTTCAAAAGAGCTTTTTGTCTTCGCCCCTTCAGCCGATTTAGCGAAGGAGTAAATTCACACTGAGAGTACCAAGACTATTCCAGCTGTGGAGCCGATGGGAACCATTACTTAGACCTCTGATTGTTTCCATTTTCTCTTTCAACACAATTGTGTGTTATAAAGTCTTCTAGTAGGGTTTGGGAAACATAAAAAATCCTCAGTGAAAACTGCCAATTTGCTAATGCAAAGTGACACTAAACCCAAAAACTTTCATTTACCAATCATCAAGATCATCTTGTGCAAGGTTACACAGTCTACAGTATATATTTTTCCTGAGACTGAAACAGAGCTAGCTGTGTCAGACCACCAGAGATACTTTTACAAAGACTGAGTTGTTCTTACTTGATACTGATAAATGAGTTGCTGCGATATCTCCTCTTTGTATCATGGAAACGTGACCCAGACTGAAAGTCAGGAATTGTTCACCCACACCTGCATGTCCTTTCACTCCTGCCCCGGTGAAACACCACTCCCTTGCTGTGAAATTTCTTTCTACCGTAACTCACCTGACATTGTTGCTCCCTTCAGTGTAGAGCAGTCCCTCACCAGAAGTCTTTAAAGCAATAAGATCTTTTCTCTCTACTGCTGCGGGGCACTGGAGAGGACAAGAAGAGGGGTCCCTAGCTCCCAGTCTTACTAAAGCTTATCATCACCAAAAATGAAGGTGGGTCACTCACACTCTGTCTGCCCATGAGTTGAAACAGTCAAGTCTGGCTATGGCAATGAGATATTTTTTTACCAGGCAGACGTTAAAAGACAGCTTGAGCCAACCTAATTGCACGTTGTATGTTCCCTGGTAACCTTCACACTGGCTCCATGACCAAGTACTACAATTAATCCAGAAGAAAATGTTTAAATTGGTAATCTGTCAGGTCAACAAAGCTGAATCAACTCAGCAAATTTTTCAAGACGGGACTGAGCCAACACAAGGACAAGTGTAGAAGCACGTTGCAAGGACAAACAAGACCTTCTTCTTTTAAGACCAGGAGCTATGAGGAACAGTTCAAATATCTTGAGTAAATCCCACCATAATCTTTTACTAATGTGCAGTCAAATTAAGTGTCGGAAAAGGAAACGAACCAAAATTAACAAACAAAACCCATTCGCTGCATAAGATTCATAGCAGCAGTGCAGCCTCAAGAAGTTTATGGCACACTTTTTAAAGATACGAGCCAGTGAGGTATCTTTCAGGAAACGTGCTTTTATAGAAAGAGGAGAACAGAACATAACCTTCATGTATGAACTGACCTAATAATTTCAGAGAAGAAAGGGACTAATAATTTGTGATGAAATAAATTGAAGTAGGAGATTGCACGTTATAAACAGGGAGGACACGTACAGAAATCTTAAGAATGGCATGGCAGCAAGTAGGGAATGACAGGTTTTAGAGCATGATGCTGCTTGTATCAGTGTTTGGGACCCTCAGCCTTGGAATATCTGCCTCTCCTTACAAACATCTGCCCTATTTCTCTACTGAAGAGCTGAAAGGAAATGCTGCAAGGATTTGCAGCATTGCAAGAAAAAAAAAAATCCAAGACCCAAAGGTATGACCTTGGCACACATTTCTAAGACAGATATATATATCTGTCCCCCCTCATATAAAAACTGGCTGATGGATGCATCCCCAAACACAACAGGCAAAGACCAATTGGTATCAAAATCATCCAGTTTTTCCTCGAGCATTTTTATTTTATACCACTGTAAACCCATCAACTTTCCCAGGGCAGGTTCTAATTTACACCACTACAAGTGAAATCAGAAAGAGGACAAAATACAAAAGAGGGGTCAATGTACACCTGACTATAAATATAAAGGGAATAGATTTTTTCTTTTCTTAAAGTGTTTACCTGACACTCAAGAAGCAAAAGAGAAAAAAACCCTCTAAAGTTAGACACAACGTATACTTTCAGAGACTGTCAGTCACAAAGCAGGATGAGTTTGCTGGGATCAGCAAATTGTTTTGGCTTTCCAGCATTTTCAGCATGAGATGAATGCCATCGTGACTAATGGAATTTCCCATTAAACATGGCCTAAGGAAAGCAGACATTTCAGAAAACAAATCAGCACTTTATATAAATATATTTGTGCCTAAAATTATTTACCTTTTTTTTTTGTATGAAGCTGACTACAATATACTCACTTATTAGGAATACGGCATAAGAAATGCTACTGTACCTTCTTTATCTGTACTTGTAACCTTTTGCTGCCTACACACCCAATATTACAGAGAAAGTGCTATCACAGCAGCTAGGTCAAAACTTAACATTCAAACTGTAAGACTTATGGAAAAGAAACATAAAGCAGAATATTTTAAAAAAGGCAAAGAAAATATCCTGTAACTGCATTTAGAAGTGGTGGCAAATCTCTGTCATTCCAGCTTTGCATTTCCTACTGGGATTGTAGTCCTACTGTCACCTACTGATCACATCCACTCCATTTTGTTTTTCCTTACAGAGGAAGGTGGATGTATTTCTTCTCTGAACCACTTCACTGAGCTAATGTGACATGAACCCCAGCTTACCTGAGTCTAAGTGCCACGGGTCGGTAGCGGCCGACATTGGTGGGATGGTGAGTGGAGATGCTCCGCAGTTGGATTCCACCAGTTCTCCTTGGATGTGGACGTGAGAGGAGGCGTTGGTAGGTCTCAGAGCTGCTTTGAGTGGAGCAATCTGGTTGAACTGTACTCTCGATAGGCAGCCGGTGAATCCTGGGGTGTTGTATTTATATATATCTTGGTCAATCTTCCCAATTTCTATGGCAAATTAAGGAAGAAGAAAAAAAAGGAAAAAAAAAAAAGATTAATCAGAACAATTCATTGCTTTGGAAAGCATGGTTGGTTTGAACTGCTTCCCAGAGCTCAGTTCCCAAGTCTCTCTCAGGAGACTGTGAATGTGTCAGATCCTGCCAGGTTTCTTTCCATTTCAATACAGATTAAAGCTGGAAACCTTCAGGCCTTGACGTGACGTGGTTTCACTGCTATGCTATCATTAAAATGAAAGGCCAGCGTGAAGGAGTCAGAGAACAAAAGGCCAGGGAAAAGAAAAAAAAAACAAAAACAAAACCCAAAAAACTTTTCCCCAAGAAGAAGGTGGCAAGAGAAGGTAGAGGGACAGTCATCGCCAGCGTCTCTTCTCCCAGCTGAAGCTGCTGCTGCGAGACATCCATTCCTTCACCCCGGCCCGTCACACTCCGGTCTCTCTTGGTGGGCTGGGACCATCCCATTCACTCCTGTCCCCCTCCTGTCTTCTCGCCAGGAGGCCAAGCATCCCTTCGCCAGGAGACCACGCGTCCCTTTGGCCCATGGTGGAAAACTGCCCCTCTCCAGCCTCCTTCCTTCCCCCGGCAGCAGTGAGAGATGGCAGGAGCCCGTCCAACCCTGCTGCAAGCTAAGAAGCAGCGTGCGTGCTCCCGCGTCTCCACAGCTGGGCCTACGTCGGCCGAGAGCTTGCCACAAGTCGGCCATTTTGCACCTCGCCACTGTGGGCTGACACGCGGGCTGGCATCCGCGAGCAGAGCACGGGATTCTGCCATTGCCCTCTAAAACAGCCGCCATCCCTCAAAGCTGCCCCCCAAAAAGCTTTCTCCCTTCTAAAACACCAATTAAAACAAACTTAAAATGGTAGCCATGAAACATGGCACATGCCCTTACTACCCAGGAACCTGCAGGTCGCTCACAGCTGTTTTAATTCTGCCATGACCTGTTGCAACAGCCCGAGTCACAACCGAAACACAACCTCTAACTGCATTAGAGGGGGTATTAACATTTCAAAGCCTCGCTGCAGTGTCTCATACAATATTTACAGGGCAGTGAGGAATTTGGTTTCCTTTCTTCTGTGGTAGCACATCATAAATGAAAATGACAACATGGCAGCATCATGTTTGTGCTGTACCAGAGAGTATTGCTCCAGAGATACTGAGATGCTTCAAACTGCCTTTCCCTGGGTCAGTAGGGACAGGAGTTAACATCTGGCCCTTGAGGCCAGTGGAAAAAATCCCACCGAGCCAAGCAAAGCACGATGGTATCCCAGGGACAGAGAACAGGAGGCAGCCACAGGTTGTTCAAAGGCAAGTTTTTCAGATAGGAACAAGGTTAAGGGCTTGAAAAATGGCGTTTCTGGGGAAAATGGCATTTCTGGAAAAAAATTATGTATATAAATCACAAGATAGCATCATAAAAAGAGGGTTCTCCTGAGAGGTGTGTGGGCAAAGAAGGAAAGAGTTTTATTGTAAGAGTTCGGGGGAGAGCTGGGAACCAAAGCACATCTGGGTTTGAGTTTTGCTACCAAAAAAAAATCAAATTAGAGTTATTAGAAAATGCATGACAAACCTTTTGGATGAGTCTGTGCTCAGCTCTAACCAACCTAGGATCAATTATATGACGTCTGAGCTGCTGACTGGGCTCCCTAAAACTTACCATGACACATATCTCAGTGCTATTTCTAAGAGTATCGAGGGTTTTGCATCAGGGATACATACGAGGAGTTTCAGGGCTACAAACCAGGCAGGGCATTTCAAGTACACTTTATTTTGGGGGTTTACACATTAAACATGAAGTAGGGGAAAACTGGCGGCAACTGGACAAATCTTGAGCATGATGAAAAGAACATACTGGTTTTCACACAGAATTAAACAGTACCTTTTCTGTCTTTGCAATCATATTAGAATGATAAACATACAAGTCCCCCCCCACACCTAGCATGAAGACACAAAAGGAAGATGCATAATCTGGAAGTTATTTGCATTATCCTTATGTGATCCACTGTACAAGAATGGATTTGTTCTATTTTCCCCATTTTCACTTTTCCTTCTTGTTTGAGAGTGTCCTTTCTCTGCTAGTGCTTATCCAGCCTGTATCAGTGCCACAGCCACATTTCACAAGCTTTCAGAGAGCAGCGACTGTCACCTGTGGCAAAGTGGAAATATGCTCAGGACTCGGCTCGAGACTAGCTTAAATGCATTAAAATCATTGTATTAGTCACGTGGGTCTCTCATCCAGCTCTCCTTTAAGAAAGTGGCGTGACCGAACAGTTAGCATCATCCCCTTCAAAAATTGGAGAGGAAGGAAAAAAAAAAAAACCTCACATGTGCACGCAAACTTTCCAGAGTTAGCAGAAAAGCTGTACAAAAGGCAGAGTTCATGCATCTGAACGCTACTTGTAGACCATACAACTCAGAGAAGGCTCCTATCTGACCACAATATTCACTGTCTCCTACTTCAATAAAGTATTCCTGGTATATTCAGTGAACAGCTGCAATTTTGAGTAACCCTTGTAATCTAAGAAACAATTAGAAGACCATATTTCTCTTTAAACACTGTAACCATTGTCAATAACAATTTCGTGATTACCTTTTATTCATATTTTTATATATTCTATGGTACTTCATGCAGCAATGCTAATAGCCTCCCACTGACAATCCTGAATGACAAGGACAAAAATCCATGAATATGATTGTGCTACTTTAGCAGGTTCAGCACCATTCTTCTCTAACTCAGTGGCTAATAAATGATGGATACTAGATCCTGAAAGAATGAAATAAAAAAACAAAACACAGAAAAACACCACAAAACAAAAAACCCTAACACGGCACCTTGCTGAAGACCTACATTTTCGTTTAAAACATTCTACAAATGATGGCTGTGCAAGTGACCTCATGCAAATTTACCCCCAGTTCGTATCACATCAGTGCTAAAACAAGATGGATTGACTTCTACGACTGCGAACACATCCCTCCCGTGCGTGTCCCACAGGGCTCAGCACACCGATGCTCTCTGACGTTAGGCCATTATACTTTGCTTCCCTGTGTATTTGAGCCTGCTATAAACCCATCCCTGGGGAGTATAATGATTATATAATGAAATATGCCTTTGTTGTCCTGACTAAAATTCAATTTTCTCCTTACAACAAAGGAGGGTGAACAAGAAAAGAAGATGACAATCACATTATTTAAGATAAAGGGAAATGTACAATGCAACTACTTTGCATTGTTCTAATTTTCAGCATACAAGCTACTGCAAAGTCATGTAAGTATTACAGTATGTGGTATTATCATTATCTAATACCAACATCAGTATTATTGCTTTCGGATCTGATGCAGCAATCTTCTGCTGGCACCCTACCCACAAGCATTTCTGTAATGAAAGACTTCCAAAAATACCACTTACAGGCTTTTTCTTTTTTTTGTTAACTTCAGCTGGTTTTAACCATTTGCTCCCTTGACCGTATAACTGCTGACTTGAGATGAAGACCACTCTTACAAGACAGAGACCATCCAGGTGAACCCATTCCAGCACAGATGCACTGCAGTTTACAAATCCTTAACACTGAACAATCACATAATAATTTTGCAACTGCCTACCCTGATTACTTTACATTTTAAAAATGTCTATAACTAGTAAACAGTATACCAAGAACCTCACAGGTGTTACCCCATGTCTTGTGTGTTATCATTCACTGAAGATATACTTAACATCAACCACTTGTTATTTATGTTTTGTTAGTTCTTTAACAGTAAAAAGACCCAGGAATTTAATCCTCAGTTACTTGGCTTGATTTCAGGGCTTATGTCCCACAGCTGTGGGAGAAACATGCCAAATAGTGATGAAATTAGTAGTATTTCTCTATTGAAAATTATGTGCTACTACTGAGGAAGCTCTTTTCCACTTAGGTGGAAAGATGTAAAGAACATCTATTTTCGAGCACGCTTATGACATAAGGTAGCATTAATGAGTACACAAGTTGAAATTCATTATTCTATGAATCGAGAAGAAAACAAGCAAAAATTAATTGTATAGAGGAAAAAATTGTGGCTGGACCTGTGTATAAGTGGCACATAGCAATACCAATCAGTGTAATTAGGTTCTCTGTTTTTTAAGACTCTTTGCCCTTACTACACTACCAGTAGATGCAGAGTTGTAATAGTACCTAGGCAGGAGCCACAAGACAAACAAACAGTTTGGTTCAGATTATTACCAAAGTTGACCTAGTTAGCATGCATCTGATGAGCTGCTTGTAGAAGCAGACACATTGCCAAATACCATTTTTATCTACTCTCTCCCTTCTCTACTTTTCCCATCTACCAGTACAAGATTTATAGAGCAGCTCGAAGGGACGTGGCGCTTCTAATAGCGCAAAAGGTTATAGCACTGCTGGAGAGCTCCAGCTCAGTTTAAATTCTACCATTTATTTTTTATACATTCTTGTAGCATCACTTAGAAAGACTACAGAAGAATGACAGCCTGATTTAGCAGAAAAAAAGATGTGTTTGCTCCCCAGCCTGAACAGGTTTTTGATAGATGAAACGGAAATGTTTCCTATTTATGCAAAGTTTCCCATGTGAGGATCCTGGAATGATGTGCACGTACGCAAGGCTCTGCAGCACAAAGCTGTACAATCCAGCGCGGTACTGGGCCAAACCAGTACAGTCGTGCCACATGTGGAAAGACGGCCTCAGACTGTGTTACACGTGGCGTCGGGAAGAGGAAGAACAGAGAGAGTCAGCCGTCAGGGCAGAGGGAAACACTCTCACTGCAAGTCTTTGTAAACCTACAAAACCTCTTTTTATTAAACATACGCGCTGAATATCCTTTCTATTCCAGCTGATGTGTACTTTTTTTTTTCTTTACAGGACTTTGAAATGCAGATCGATAGAGAAAGTTATAATAAATTCTGAACCTTGCACAGTGTTCAATACTTACAGAGAGCATCAAGGCATTTATTTATTGTGAATTACGTTCCATTAGGAAGGAAATGTAACAGAACTTGGAAGTACAGTTTGTGGGTACGCACAACAATGTATGTAATAAATATCCGGTTATGAATCTCCTTGGAGTTTTCCAGTGATGCCCTTCAAAGTCAAAAGAAGGCCTAGCTAAGGGTACTTCTTTTAGCACAGCAAGGCTCTCAGTAAATGTTAGAGCCATCTAGCTCTTCCTTCTTTCATAATGGGAAAGCTCTGCCTGAAGCAGCACACAGCGGGGCAGGGAGAAGAAAAGCACTATATACTGGAGTGATTTTGGTTGTGACAGAAGATGCCTTTTAAACAAAGGAAAGTCTCAGCAGCACAACCAAAGCCCTTTCAGTTCAATTTACTAAAGACTATTTCTTACATAATTTACACAAGACATCATTTCAGTTTTGCTTTGAAAATGGTGAAAAATCCAGCTGTTTGGATTTAGGACAATGACCTATTTATATGCACCCATTTACGCTCAAAAATACAAC